AAATGTGTTTGTGAAAATACAGTGTGCTGTTTATTCTGAAAGGAAACTGTACCTGCTTCTTACTACTGAAGCAGGAGACTCCCAAGTGTTGAGCCTGTGTAGTAGTCAGCTATGGGCTAGGAACCAGTGAGAGACCAAAAAATGAACTTATAGAATAGATTGTCTGCTTTAAAAAAACCCCTGCAGCTAAATTTCTCTTAATTCCAGATTTATCTTGGTAGTGATAACAGTTGTCTATAAATCTGTTGAAGACATTTTAGATCATGCTTGAAGTGTGCATGTGTTCCCCCCTGTGCTGATGTCAGGCCCTGTGTACTCTGTCTTGAATGACACTAAGCTGGTTTGGGGAATTAAAAGAGCCTTCAAAGGTTCAAGTGCTTGGGAATTATTCCACATGTTTAATGAAAGTTCTCCTTATTTGGGCAGTAAGAGACCTGCTCCACCCCACTGATTTAGCAGGAAGCCGTGAGTGCTGCCCCTGTTGTTGGCCGTGTAGCTCAGTGCTGGTGCTGAGGAACGGGCCTGAGGAGCAGCCAGGCCCAGGCTGGAAATGGGACCCAGCCCTGGGCAGGCAGCAGAGCTTGAGGGTCAGCATGCAGTGAAATGAATGGAGACCCTGAGCACTTTCAGCTAGGACAGGGTTTGAATCCAGATTTGGATTTTCTTCCCATGTTATGTGTTCTTCTTGCTCAGACCTGTCTTCATTGCTGGGGTTCAGGATATTCAGTAGCCTCCATCAAACAGTGCTTTTTCCAGTCATGTATACATGTACAGTCATATACTGTGTGCATTGGTAGTAAATAATAGGTACAACAGTGAGTAAATACAATAAATAGTGGCAGTAATTGGGCTGTAGCATTTGGGATCCACTCTGAGTCCCCAATGGGATCCAATTCATTTGTTGCCTCAGTATTTGCTACATTAAGTCCTTGAGGGGACATTTGCTTTTAGCAAAGCACACAGGTTGGTGGATCTCCCTCATGGAGCTGAAGTGCTACAGTTTACACTCATTGAACTTGCAGGAATGCCTGCTCTGTTTTTCCAAGTTCTTTGTGCTGTGTAAACTTGAGTCATAATTACTGCTGTTGCCAGGAGGTGTCAGTTAATTTTTTCTGATGATACATTGGCATTTTGCTCGATCTTAACTACATGATGAGATCTTCACTTTCAGTTTGGGTTCAGGTAGTTTTATCTTTCATTTGGATCTCGGCTTGAAGCAGTAGTCCTCATTTCCTTTTTGTGTTGTATAGTTGGGACAACTTCTGTGGTTTGAATTCACAGGCTGCAGCCTTTTAACTCAAGTAAAGGTGATTAAACAATGACACTTTAACTGAATACTCTTCTCAAATTATTTTATTTTGTTAAAATTTGTAATATCCTTCAGTGGTCAAGTCAGACTTGCTTTGTTCAGTCTCTCTAACCACCTTGTCTGTTATCTACTAGGACTGTTTTGAAGGCCTATGGTTCCTCACAGTAAAGGCTGGAAAAATAAGTTGTGATACCTGCCAGACCTTCATCATACATGTCGTGGTGGGAGTTCCTTTCAAGGGCTTCCTTAGAACTACTTTCTAATGTTATTTTCAAAATAAAAATTACTGTGTGACAGCTGAAGGTGGTGACTTATTTCCCATCCTGTGTATGTGACTTGTTGAATAAATACCTTGGTTGGCTTTTTTGAAGAGCTTCATTGAGTGACAAGCTGGATGTTATATGGCATTCCTGTCTTGGTTTTTTGGGGGGGATTTTTTGTTGGGTTTTTTTTTTTTTAAAAAGGAGTTAGATATTGAAACATGTTTTAGGAACAAACTGGAGAAACACATCCTGGGAGCAGGTGGATTTCTGCTAAGTACTTAATAATTCTGAAATTTTACTGATCTGAAAACTTGAGACACACTGAAGCAGCATATGTGTAACAGGTGGTCTAAGCCATGTAGATGCTGTGCATACATTAGAGGTTTAAAACTGAGCCTGTACTGATTAATAAGGAGTCTTTTTGTTACTGCTGTCTTCTGAAATCAGCCTTGTAATAGTTGAAAGTTAGTACTATGGAGAGGGATATGAAGAGTATAAATTTTCTTGTGGGAAGACTGGTGTTATATAGGTTTCTTTTTCTTGAAACTCATCACACTTTCCTCTCAGCTGACCCAGTTACCTGGAACAGTTTTCACTTTGCAATACTGTTTATCAGGTAAATGAGGAGAGGCACTCCTTAGTGGTGATAAAAATCGTTCTAGTATACTAAAATATCTCTTTTTTTAAACCTTTCATGTGTTCTGTAAAGACTTTTCATCATAACAATTTAGGTGATTGTCCAATAGTTGTCTTTATTTGTAGATGTTTAGTCCTGGTGTAATTTTACATAAATGGCACTTTCTGTGGGCACTGGCCTCTGGCACTGGGGAGGATCTTTGCATGGTGCTGGTCCAGGTGAGGGTGTGACTTGTACTGATCAAATTTTAGAAGAGAAACCAGGGCAAGTTTGGTAAAGCAGAGAACAGACTGTTATGTTATGGGGTAATTTAAAAATAACACTGGACAATAGATAGAAAATAAACATAAAAAGGAATGCAATGTTACTCTGCAGATAACTGTTTTCTGTTTTGCACTTTGTTGCACTGGGATTCAGCTTCAAAATCACCAAAATATCAGAATAGATTTGGCATTTAACTCATAGCTAGAGTAGGTACAGATAAAACTGATAAAACTCCTGTACTGTTTTGCAGTAACTAGAATTTGATTACCTGGGCTTCTGTAAATTTCGTGCTCAAACTGGCTTTTTAATATCAGTGGCATAAGTGATTAGAAAATATGTTCTAAAAGAAGCTACAGCTCAGAGTTTACAAAGTCAGGCAGTTTGATTGGCTCCTTGTACCATACAATATGTGACCAAAAGGCAATTTTATGGGAGTGGATTATAAACCAAGACTTAGCTTATGAAGGGACAAATGTAGTTCCAAAAAAAGCAATCTTTGTGTCTCATGTGCTCTGGGCTCTGTCTTTATGCACTGCATTTCAGTAGAAACCAGCTAAAGAAGAAAAAAGGTTGAGTTTTATGTTTTTCTGTCTGTGTGGTGCATGCACATGCAGCAACTGGGAATGAAGAAAATCTCCATTTTGAGGCCATCTGTGTCGGTTCTTTTGTCTGAACCTGACAAGAGGTCATGGCAGATGGTGGGGTCACAAAGTCTGGCTGCTGGGGCTTGACAAAATGTGTTCATAAAGCTGGAAGAATCCCAACTGTTCTTACTGGCTGAGGAGCATTGTGGCAAAGGACTGTAATAGTTTATGGACAATACCTTCTGCATCATTAAGCTTGACAGCAAATAACTTGTCATGATGAACCTAGTTTGCTTATCTGCAAATAAGTTAAAACTGCTCAGCAATTATGTTCTTAACTACATTTTATTGGAGTGAATTACTTGTAAAGCCTCTTAAAGAGAGGGAGGTCAGACTGCAACTGGAATTTTGGCCAGAGCTCCAGATGATGGATTTGGAGAGTTCATCTGCAGGGGTCAGAAATGTGAAAAAAGAACAGGCACCAAAGATCATAATTTTCAGCTGCATTGCAAGAATTCAGTATTTGCTCCTTGCCATGACCTCTGTAGCTTTATGGCTTCAGGTTTCAGGATTGCTGCAGATCCAGTAGCTCCTTTCCCCAGGGTGGGAGCAGATACCTCTTTGTAGTATCTTCTCCAAAGTCAGAGAAAAATTTGTATTATTTTCTTGGATGTTTTGTGGTGAAACTGAAATGTCCAACTTTTCACAGGAGAATGTCTTGGTAGATTTGTGTGATGTTCACATGCTGGAGTAACTGCTTAATTATGGCTGCAATAAAGGGAGGCACCAAGGAAGATAAGTACAACTCAGGCAACAGGAAGTGGAGGATGCCTCTACATTGAATAAAATCATTTTCTACTAACAGTTTAATTGATATGATGTCTGAATAAACCGAGAAATGTGTAGAAACAAACAGCCTAGAATTTAAAGTTCTCTGGGTTATCCAGAACTACTAAAGCAGTGATGGGAAGTGATGGTAGAGTTCCTCATTGGTTGCACACACTACTGAAACAACCCTGGCACTTTCCTGGAGGGAGATGAGGGCACTGGCCATGCCCAAACTTGACATAGGTTAAAATACAGAGGAAATGGCATAAATTGCATCCTACTTATGTAGCTGCTGAGTTCTGCTGTAAATGGTCATGACTCTTCTTTGATAAGTGGTTCAGGTGTCTTCCTAATTTTACTGATTTGATTCCACACTTCAAAGTGTGAACAGTTCTCTCTCTCTTATTCATCCAAATGCAAATTCATTCAAATGTCTTGTGTAGTCCATTTTTAAACTGCAAGTAGTACTTATAAAGTACTTTTCAAGGTACCTAAACGTTTTGTCAAGTCAGTTCTATCTTTAAAATGGTTTGTGTTGACAACATTGATTTGTAACTTTTCTTCTGTTTTCTGTAAGGCTTCTGGAAGCTTTCATTTAAAAAATAAGTCATTTTAAACTATTTTTGGTGTACCAAAATTTTTATCTTTTCCTAGAATTCTAATATCATAATTCTAACTACACAGGCTTAATAAAAAAGCATGAAAATATTTAAAAGATGAGTTAGAGCTGAATTGGTTTTTTTTCTTGTGTGTTTCCTAAAAATTCTGAATGTTTTCTCTTTTTTCTTTATATACATTTGATTAAAAGCCTTCTCTGTTGTTGGCTAAAGAGACAGTGGAGAGAAGTAATTCACTTCCCTTTTTAAAGCCAATCTGCATTAAATGCAAAAATTGCATGGTTTTAATTATAAAACTTTACTAATGATATAACATGGTTTGCTAGCACATTAATGTAGTCAGGCCTTTATGTAAGTTGGGCCTTATATATAGGATTTCATCTCTGCCTGTTCCAATCAATGACCATTTTCAGAATCTCTGCAGAACCTGACTATTGTGGTGATTATTTTCTCAGAAGCTTGGGTTTCAACTAAGGTATTTCATTAACTGTCTTACAGGATGTTCATTTTAAAGATTCTGTGAAGATGAAAAGGGATCTCTTATGGCTTTATGAAATATAGAGCAATACTGTCTGACATGACGGCAAAAAATGTAAGTATGACTCTTCAACGTGTTACTGTTCATGTTGGCATTCTGCCACTCACTGCTGACTTTCAGAATTGTGTGCACAAATATAAGAAATCAATCACAAAGACCTTCAAATTCAGAAATCTTATCTGATTTTTGTATACCACAAATATGTACCCCATCATCTTCTGCAGTATTTTGATAAATCTATACTGGTTAGAAGCTCTTTCAGCATGTGGAGTTTAGTTGGTCAGATTGATAACTGAGGCAATGTTTTATGCTGTTTTCATATTGATCCATGCAGGTCCCTTCCAACTTGAGATATTTTGTGTGTCTGTGATCTCTCTAACATTTCTTCAAACTTATGTGAAAGCTGCACATTTTGTTGAATCTTCTCACCTTTGCACCTCTGTAAAATCCTTCCACTGAGTCTGAATCTCAGATCTGAAGAAGTGGAAGGACTGCATATTATTTGGCTGCTGTTGGTACTCTTGGTTTCTGGAAGGCTGGAGGCCTTCTGGTTCCTGTGCCTGCTCGTTACCCAGCCTGCAGTGGTGTCTCAGGCTCTATATTTGACTCCTCTATCCCGAGTTCTGAGGAAGCTTATGAAATGTCTTAACATCCTGACCTTAATTTTCTGCCTAATTAGCTGTGCTTCCTGAGGTACACAGCCTGTGCAGAGAACAGTTCTGGTTAATCCTGGTGATCAGTGAGTCGAGGGTGACTTTGGGCCCTGGGCAATTTGCCTGTTGACATCCTGCATTCTGTTAAATCTGAGTGGGTTTAGGAGCCAGCACCACCAAAGAAGTGCCCCACAGTGAAAGTGCAGGTAGCCCAGGATTGTCCTCTGTTCAGTACCCCCAAAAGCTTTTGTGCATATTGGGTTAGATTGGTGCCAATGATACAGTTTGGTTAAATTAATTCTCTAGTGTTGGAAATTCTGTTGGCTTTATTAAAAGCTTCATTTGGTGTGTGGTTCCAGGCTTTGAAGTGTCTTATATCTCACTTTTTGACTCAAGTTTACCAAGACATAAAGTGAACTGATGTGTATATTCAAAGCCCTTTGCTCATTATTTCATAGGCCATATTTATCTCTAGTCCAAATAAATAATTCTACTGATGTATGTGGGACAGCTGCACAAATCCAGGTCATTTGTGGCTTTGACCTTTTGTTTGATGCAGTCAAAGGATAAATCCCAATCCCAATAAAATCCATGGAGTGCTGTGTAATAGTCATAGAGCGGCTGGAAGGGATTTCAGGAGCCCATGTACTCTGGGGTTTGTGTAAAGCTCTTTGACACTGAACCCAGCTCCTTGGTGCTTTGTTCAGGGCTTTGGGGTTTGAAAACCTCCAAGGAGAGACGTGGCATTCACTCTGGGTAACCTACTCTTCTTCTGAGTACAGAAATACAATTTTGTTGTTTACTTCAGGACAATGCTATGGTTACTTTAGAGAAGAAATATTTTATTGGTATGCATACTTTGAAATTTTGCATGTCAAAATGATGCAAACCTAGTCAGATACCTAATATTTATGGGTTTATGTTTAAAAAAATCAGCTGCTGTGGTACAGATGAATATAGGACTCAGTTTTCATGTTTACCTGCTCATGTGGTGGTCATATGCTTTGTGTCACTGGTAGCACTTCTTAGGGTTTTCCCAGCCTTGGTTACTCAGAATTGCTGTGGTTACTCAGAACAGTGCCAGCCCTGGTGTTTCCTGGTGCTGTTAGAAGGTCCTAATGCTTCTGAATTTGCAGAGTTGCAGGGCTTAGATTCTGTATATGCCTGGGGGTTTCTGCAGCTCAAAATCTGTTTCAAATGTGAGGTTAATATTTGTTACAGTGTCAGAAATGATCTGCAGAGTTGAGGGAGAGAGCTTCCTTCTGAGAGTACTTCCATCATTTTCCTTTATGTTGAAGCATCAAGGAAAGGAAAGTTTAAAGTACTGGAATTTGAGCATCTTTCATGAAACTCATGAAGGGTTTCTGTCAAATGTGGAAGCTGCCACATCTGCATTCTGCAATCCCTGCAGCTCAGCTGGGATGTGTGTGCTCCTGCTGCATCACAGCAGTGCAGTGAGCTGTGCCTGGAATGCCACAGCTGGAATTGCCACCTTGCAAGAAGCTGTGTTGAGCAATCTCCTGTCCAGCCAGCTTGTGCTTCAAGCACATGCCAGAATGTTCCTGGAGACTGGATGTGTGTGCAAGATGAAAAACCTTCCCCATCACTGCTTTTCCTTCCTAACTCTGAGCATGTGGTGGGAAAATTATCCAGGCTGGGCTCACTGCTCATTTTCTTTAAACACAGGACCCTTGCTGGTATCTGTTTGTGGAATATTGTTTGTGGGTAATTTGACCTTCCTTAGAAAACTAATCCGACCAAAGAAGTGATGCTGAATAAAAGTTCTTTTGGAAAAAAGATATTTATGTGCTTACCATATACATTGTACCCAGATGTAATTCACATCACCCTGTCCAGCTGGGTTATTTCATTCTTTACTTAGATAAGAAAATGTGGGTTTTTTTCTTGCCTGTTTTGTATCTCCTTTCCCATTGGTCCTTCAGGTAAAAAGACACCAAAACAGTATTAACAAATGGAGGGGAACAAAGAGCAAATACTCGTGGTAAATCTTACTTTAGTGTACTCAAACAAATGAGTGGTATAACTTCAGCAAGTTTTTTGAATAAGACTGTTAAGTTTTGATTGTGAAGTTATTTGTCAGTGCTTCTCAGAGGGTGGCTCTTGCCGTAGATGGGGTCAGTGAAATGGCTGTGATGTTCTCCTGGCACGTCCAGCATGGAGGGAGTTTCATGCTGAGGGTGCTCACACAGCCTGCCCAGCCAGGCAGAGAGGGCTGGGCTGCTCGGGGCAGCTGCCCCCTCCAGGGCTCTGCCTGGGACTCCTCCTTTCCCTTCACCCTCTTTGGAAACTCAGTCACTAACAGGAAAGGCAAACCCAACTCTAAGATATTTAGTAGTGTGCAAAGGCCTGCCAGGTCCTTTCTTCATCTTCCATCGTGGCTGGGTTCCTTGTGCTGCAGATGAATAGAAGCAGAGTCCGGCTCCTGCCATGCCCAGTAATCCAGGCACTCTGGGCCAGTGTTATAAAGTAGAAATATCACAGGAGCAGTACAAAAAGTAACAAATTATTCCAGTTAAGCATTGGATTGTGTACTGGTTTCAGCTTAGGAGTTGTTACAATTCAAGATTCCCAAAAGCAGTGTGTGGTCTGTCTCAGATAACAACATGGCCTGGGACCTCTTGAACACTGAGATGGAATCCTATGAAGGTCTTGCTGTGCTGCAGTATTATAATGTTCCATCACACATTGCTTCTTCTGAGGACTTAGGATCATTCTTCTGCAGGAGAAACAAATTCCTTTAGATCTGCCACACTTCTCACTTCAGTTCTCATGAAATTCAAGTTTGTTTTCAAGCTCTTCTAAACTTAGATACAAGGATTATAAAATTGAGAAAAGTGCTGCTCTTTATAAATGTGCTACTAGGATCATTGTAATGAAAACAACATATTTCTGTGCAAACTGAGGTTCTGTAACTTTGTGTCATTTGGATCACTGAAGTACAACATATACACAGAGAATTAAATGTGGAAGTTAGAATTTTCATTCTGACACTGTATATGTATGTCATCTTCAGTGTTTGATTAAAACACTGATCTGAATTAATAGGGAAATGTACAGTTGTAGATCTAGAGTGAATGTTCAATTGTAAACACATTCCAGTGCTGTCTTTGAAGATGTTCCTTGTAATCCCTTCTCTTAGAATGAGTTGAGGCCCATAATCTAACATGATATTTATCCCTGTGGGCCCCTATTCTTTCCCTGAATTTAAAATTTCTGCCATTGGTGTTGTTCTAGTTGCTGCAGAGGCAGGGAGGGCTCCTGGGAGAAGCTGACACTGTTGTTGGTGTGAAGGCAGCAGAGGTGTGAGCCAACAGTGCAGCCTCTTCCCCTGGCTGGGCCTTGCAGAGCTTTGCCCCGTGCAGTTCCCAGCTCTGTTGAACATCTCCTCAAGAGCACACCCTCAGTGGCCTCTCACCACACATGGAGTGTTCTTGTGCCCATGTACAGGAGTTCCTGGAGTGCTGCTCTCCTCCTGGGTGTGCTGCCAAACCTGCTAAGGAGACGTTGTGGGGTTTTTTGTGTCTTCCTCCCCTTGCCCTGCTCCAACCCGGGTGTTCCTGCTCGGGCCCTCCCCGCCCTGCTGCATCGCTGCTGCACCGGTGCCACCTGCTGGGAGGGACAGTGGGACAGCACAGAGAGTGGGACAGCCTGTGACACTGCCCCTGGGGACAGCACAGCAGCCCAAGGTGGGAGTGAGGAGGCCCTGGCTGGGTGTGCCGGGCAGGGCAGGGAAGGGACGCTCTGACAGTGACAATGCCGGAGATAAACTGAGGGCTGTACTGAGCATCTCGAGGGGTTTGTTTATAGGAGCCATCACTGAGCTCGTTTGGGCAGTGTTTTACAATCAGAGTAGTGCAACAGTTGATCTTCTTACGTGTCTCCTGATGGGGAAAAATTTTAGTAGACGTATTTTCAAGAGTGTCACAAAGCAGTGTGTGCAGATTTTCCCCTACAAAAATTAGCTCCTGAATATTGAGAGACTGAATGCTTATAGCAGATATTATTTTGTCTTGTGTAGTTTATTTTAGTTAAGTTTAATTTACCTAAAATTAAATGATTCTCTGACAGGAGTATATTAAAATTCTTCATGTGGCCCTAGCATAGGTTCCATTATTGCTACATACATCTGTAAAATAAAGCAAAATGTTTGATCCTTCATTATATGATTGCCTTCTTTTAACTTGGATAGTGGAACCCTTTGTCCCAATGATTTACAGAAGTACTCAAATTTTATAATATTTTAAAAAGAGGTTGGGATATGAGGGATTTCCCATCTCTTCCTTCCTCATCCAGGATGATCTTGTATTTTTCTGTACAAATTACACCTTCCTATGCTTAGTGTGCATGCTAAAGTCTGAGTTGTGCTATTCTGTATAAGCTTTAAGTTTTCCATGTCTCCAGTAAGTTCCCCTCAGTAAATCAGTGTATCTCTGAAGTGGGAATGTGTTTAGAATGCATCAATAGTCACATCTCATACCTGCAGACTGTGAGCTTGGTGCTGAGCAATTGGACATGGGCAGATTTCTGCTGGTAGGGGTGGCAGCTGCTCCCTTGCACTTGGAGGGGATGGTGCCAGAATGGCTGCTTGGGCCATATGTAGTACACAGAATATTCAGGGTGGTTTTTAGGTAACAACTTATTAAAAAGCAGACTTTCCAAATGTCCTGGATACCTTGCCTTGAGTCTCATGCACTTGTTAGACTCTACTGGCCATAGGATTATGCTGTTTCATAATGCAGAAAGTTGCTTTCATAGTATTGTTAGTTGCATGTTAGAAAACATAGAAAGGTTTATCATATTTTAATACTTCAAAAATGTTTTATTCAGGTTGGTGTGACATCCACAAATGGAGACTTGAAAGGATTTATAGATCAGAACCAGAGTCCAACAAAAGGTGAGAAAATTCTATTTGATACATACATTAAGACTTATGTCACTGCAATATATGATTGATTCACATTTGGGTACTCAGAATTTAAATGTTCAAAACATATTTCATACATGCCCACGTGTAGTTGTTTAATATCAACATGTGTCAGTAGCAAAGATGGGAAGGTCTTCAGGATTTCAGAGGGAAAAATAAGGTTTAGTAAAAATAATAAGAGGACAACATAAGCCCTTTTTTTCATTCCTTGATGGTGAATAATATACTGAATTTCCCAATTTCTAGCCCACCCTTAAAGTTTCCTGATTCTGTTGTAGTCAAAATGACAGAGAAGGCTAAGCATGATGTCATACTTCTTTCTAAATGTTCTGCACAATTTACAATAATAATTATGTTTTGTCCTGTTCTGTTTTATCTTAGCACTTGTAGATTAATCACTTTTGACTCAAAAACAATTTATGATCAGTCATAACAGCTATGGTATTGCAGTAAAATAAACCCCTTATCTATATTAGAAAACTCAAGGATTTGCAGTTCAGGAAACATTTCAATCAACCTTTCCAAGTAAATACTGGTTTGCTGTTATCCACTGCAATAATCCAATGCATGCAGTAGCAGGAAGGTTGATTTCTGGCTGATGCCATCAAACCTAAGAGACTGAAAAATTGAGACAACTACACAGAAAATGGCTGGAGCTACAGTATCTTCCTCATTTTCTAAACTTTGCAGAACATGACAAACTGGTGGAGGCCTTAGAGAATTATTTATTGCACATTGTGCTTTATTGTTTTGTGATTATTGTGCTGTGTTGCTAGGGAAAAAGACTAAGTACAACATTTTCAATAATTTCTGAAACAAGCAATTGATTTGTCCAGAAAATAACTGAATAACTTTATAAAGTATGGGTCATTACTGTTAGGAATATCCCATTCTTTGTCAGATTTTGCTTCTGGGATGATGGATGCATTATTACCTCCATTTTTGTATATTTTTAAAATGTTATGATCTAATGATTTTTTTTAACCTTGAGGTATAGTTAGAAATTGTTGCCACCTCTATTGAAATATCTTGTTCGCAATGGATTACTCTTCTTAGAACATCAAATATTCCATAAAAGCTGGGAAAACTTGTACAGGTACAGCCAGTATCTAAGCTGTCTCTTACTTTCAGTTTAAAATATCCTTTACTTCTTTTGGCATGTCCACTGTTGAACTCTGGAAATTAGGGAGGGGGAGAAAAACCCCAAACAGGCATTCAGGTCCACTGTCTCTTAACAGGGCTTTGTGAGCTTCCTAGTAAAGGCACTTTGGTTTCTTTGGGGTTTTGGTGATGGTGGGTTTTTGTTTGATTCTTTTTCGGAGTTTTTTGTTGTTTTTTTTAAATATACAGTATTTAAATTAAATAATTTGCTATAATAAAAATAAAGGCAATTTATTGCTACATGTCTGGGCCTATTTATACTGTGCCTTCATAACACCCTTAGACTGAGGCATGATGCATTTATGATATGTTCAAAAACAAAGGAGAGAGGGCATTTACTCTACTGAAAACCTTCTTGAAAGCATCAGATTTCAAGGGCTAGAAATTTTTGCTTAAAAACAAGTTGCATTTTTCTTTTCTCTCCAAGAAGAAAACTGGTGTGTGTTTGTTGTTTGCCCTGCCCAGCAGAGGGGGCCTGGGGGGGAGCAGCCCAGTGAAATCCCAGACCCCGGCTGGATGCCAGGGCACAGCCAGGGGCACCCAGAGCTGGGCACATCTGCTGCTGCTGCTGGGCCATGGCTGCACATTCCTACCTTAAAGTGGCTGATGCAGACTCACCCAAGGGCTTTGAGGAATTTTGCTGTCCTTAGTTAACACTTCTTTGTTACTGTACTCCCAGTTCCTATGAGTTTGTGTGTTGTTCTTTGTTTCCTGCTGTGGAGGGAAGGGGGAGTCCAGGCACAGAGCAGCAATCCTGCAGCAGGCTCCGTGAGGGGAGGGAGCAGCCCTTGTGCAGGCCTTGCTTTGGGCGGGAATCTGCACCTCCGAGACAACTTCACAATGAACTGCATTTCAGTGCATCTTTCTATTACACAGTACCTGTCTTTGACTAAGTCCTGCCAGGGCTGGTGTTTTAAGAACTTGGTGCACAGGGCTGCTGTAAGAGAAGTACTTCATTGTATGCTTGACGAGATCTGCTGAAATGACCAAGACATCAGCAGCAGTAATCCGTAGCCTGTGCCTGGTGCTTTCAGATTTATGCAGCTGTTAACTCCTGTAGATTTGTCTCTAATTGAACAGTGAAAGGCTGAAATTGTACTGCTCAGTGTAAGCCTGAAGTACATTGAAAAACTGGCTGCCCCATTTTATTTATTTCTTTTCTACGTATCTGTTTGATTTCCTCTCTGTGGAATTTTTAAAGTTAGGTTTGTAGCCCAGTAATTTTGTGCAATGCACAAATGAAGAAATGTACCAAGAAAATATTTGTGTACTAGTAATGCAATAATAATTCCATTTTTTCTATATGTTTTTATCATACTGATCTTGGAGATCAGTAAATTTACTGATCTTAGTGTAACAGAGAACCCTGAGGACACATCACATATATTATTCCAAAATATCCCAATGGGCTGCTGAAATCTCACAGCTCTGAGCTGGGGTTTTTGCCATCATTGTCAAGCTATAGGCTGTATTATTAAAAATGGCTGTCATTGAGACACTTTTTAAAAGTGGACATTTGTTCAGAGCTCTGAATATGAAATCCAAATTACCACCACTTCCCTGGTGTTTTGTTTGAAGATTCAATGGGTTTTTTTGTTGCTGTATGCTTTGTGTGTAACCCCAGCTGGTTGGGCTATGCTCCCCATCAGCCATGGTCTCCTTCAAACTGGCTGTGACAGATTCTATAGATTCTCCAGTTGACATTGTTTCTGATTATCTTTGCAACTGAGCTGCAGACCCAACACATTTAGTTATACAGGAAAAAAAAAAATCATTAAAATTTATTCAGCTTCATATTTGTATAGGAGTGCATGTTGTTTATGAAATTAGACTATTTAGGGTGGCACATAATGATTTAAACTGAGTTTGGTGAGCTGCTTTGTGTGTGCATGTGAGCATACATGTACATAAACATGAATAACTTTATCTGTGACTGCTTGAAGCTGAAGATCATTTAAATTGATTTTTTCTTTTTGTGCACCAGTAAAACTGTTGCACAAATGCCAGGAAAATAGTTATGTAGGAATGATGGTTTTTTAAAATATGAAATTACAGCAACACTGGTTTCTCTCCCTGAGAAGCAACAATAGTGGTGACTGAAGAATGGAAGAATAATTTATGTAGAAGCAAAGTGCTTTTGTTCTGAGAGAAACATACATATATATTTATCCACTGGCAGATTCTTATTCTGAATTTGCTTCAGTGCTAAGGAGGCTCAGTTTGGGATGGCTCTCTGTGTATTGCAGCTAAAGCCTCCCTATGAGAGTTTTAAGTGGGTTTCTTTCCCATGTGCTTGGTTTTCCATAGGTAAATGGGAATAATGACACTGACCTCCTTTGTGCCTTGAAAGTACTGCTGAGAAACATTATATAAGAATTGAGTATTATTATACAAATCATTCCAGTTTGATCCATCTGTGCTGACCTTTTCCTGCATGCAGTGAGATTACCGTGACTCAGGGCTGATGGGGCTCATTGTGTTCAGCTTATCACTGTACTCACTGCTCTTGTGCCCCGGGACATAAATCAGTGTAATCTTTTTTGTCCCCAAATGATGGGTGTTATTAAGACTTGGCATTTACATAGAATTTGGTCATGTTTAAAGCCTTTGCAGTTGCTTTGTGATAGTGTATATAGTTTGATGATATTTCTGCTTTCAGTTGAATACCGAAATCTGTTGAATGTGTTGTCACATCCACTTCCTCCTAAGTATAATAATATAATGATATAATAATAATCTTTGAAGCAATTGAGGTTACAGGAGTATTGGGACCATGATGCTATTTGGAAAAAAAGAAAATGGTAGGGAGGAATATTTTATTTGTAATTGATAAAACTTTCTGTTTACTATTTTTTCAACTGCTGACAAAGCAACCTCTTACTGTGAAGAATTTGGTTGTTCTTTCTTTCTGGCCACTGTGGATAAGAAATACCTCACTTATAAAAGCAAACTGTTTCTTTTTCATCCTATCTGTGTTTCAAGATCTACGCATCCACATATTTATATTTGCCAATGAGGAAAATTGAAAGTTAGAATAAGGACAGGGAAACATTTCTTTGAAAACTTATTCAACTCTTAAGATTATTTTGACGGTACTGCTGCCAAATGAGGGATTTGTGTAGGGATTAGAAGATGAAAATCTTTTTTATTGACAGTAACTCTGGCCAAAAAGACATTTAAACACACACCATATGTAAGCAAATGTCTTTTTAAAATCAAGATCAGGTCATTTGAATGACCCTTGTATTTACTGAAGTCAGCCCAGTGGTGCCAATGTTCCATTGTAAATGAAGGCACAGTGCAGCAGTAGCTGCTAATTAGTGCTTTATTAGTGGCTTTTCCCAGGCTGCTCAGTAAATCTGGTGGGTTTGTGTGGCTTTGGCCATGGGTCTGCATGTGTGTGTGAGGGAACATCCCTGAAATGTTCTCAGCAGTCACAGGTGCAGCTGGATGCCACGGATGCCATGGGTGTCAGGGATGTCAGTCGGCGTGGCTGTGCCCAGTGCTGGCTGTGCTGGGTGGCCCTGAGCCTTGTCCAGGGCTGTGAGCCCACAAGGCCGCTGTGGCAGGGACAGACGTGACAGCCCCGTGCCTCCTGCAGCCTGGGAGGTGCAGCTGGAGGCAGCCCTGTGCTGGAGCCTGTGCTGGAAGAGCTGGGAGCCAAAACCCACATTTCACAATTTTACTGCACTTGGCCGTGTGACCTTACGCTGTCAACACCAGAGAAAGGAATTTATTTCTTTTCCCTGGTAAGAAAAGGGACGAGGAGAAATAGTATGAGAGCTGATCTTGGAGGTAGTGGGGTCAAAAGTTTCAGTTGCAGCAGAGAAGAGGAAAATTCCTACAGCAGTACTGGGAAGTGGCACGTCATTGATGGCACCAGCCTGGAATGAGGGGAGAGACGAGGTGTTGATGGAATATGCTGGCACAGCTTGGGAAATCCTGGGCAAAATCCTCTAGCAAAAGTAAAACTGGCAAGTGAGAGAACTCTTTTGAGCTCAGCATGGGAACACAGAGTATGCAAATCATGAATTACTATCTTGTGCTCTCTGGCACTACCTCACAAAAGATTTTTCATAACAGAGCAGATTTACTGGAGGGGGTGGGTTTGCAAGTGTGGGAGGTTTATATTTGTTTTTGTAGGTGAGTTACATGACTGAGTAATTTATTCATTTTATTGACTAGAGATGCAAGCTGCTTCTGAAGATGTTTTCAGATACAGATTTGCCTTTTGAAAAATTAATATTTAGTACTAGTATTACTCCAGATGCCAAAAGAATCTACACAGAACATTAGAACATCCTAGTCTCAATTTGTTTGTATTTCTCATATATCTGTTGAACATTTCTTATGAAGGTGAGACTTGGCATAAAGCCACATCTTTTCTACTGCTCTGCTGTAAGATCCTTTTTCCTCTCAGTTGTGTTGCTTCTGCTTCCTGTTGCAGAGAAGTTACTTTGTTGAATTTATCATTTTTCAGTAACCTCATGGAAAAACAGGTATATTAAAATAAAATGTAAAAAAAGACACCATGATTCAGGAGCAAGTGAGGAAAGAAAATTGGGCAGTGGAGGTGAAGAGGTGATGTGAGAAAAGACAGGGGAGCAGGGCTGTGTGACACCCCAGAGTCAGCTCGGGCCGTGCGGGCTGGGCT